CTGGCATCCTTGAAGGTGCTTTATCCAAATGCATGTGGCCCCTCCGTGTTCCCCTTTCTTTCCCTTCTGAGGCTTAGCAGGCAGCTTGGTCATCATGGAGGATGAGTGTTTGACAAGCTGTGGGGAGGAGACATTGAAACTTCTGAAGCTTCTGAGCTCAAAATGTCTTTTATTTGTTCAAGGTCAAGTTCCTGTCGAGATGTCCTGCCAGCAGAACCAGCAGCAGTGCCAGCCCCCTCCTAAGTGCACCCCCAAGTGTCCCTCCCCAAAGTGCCCCCCAAAGAGCCCAGCACAGTGTTTGCCCCCAGCTCCCTCTGGCTGTGCTCTGAGCTCTGGGGGCGGCTGTGGCCCCAGCTCCTCGGAGGGTGGCTGCTGCCTGAGCCACCACAGGCATCACCGCAGGTCCCACCGCTGCAGGCGCCAGAGCTCCGAGTCCTGTGACACTGGCAGTGGTCAGCATCCTGGGGGCTCGGGCTGTGGCCACGGCTCTGGGGGCTGCTGCTGACCTGGATCTGATGCTGAGACAAGCGACTTGAGAGGAGACAAGAAGCCAGCGGAGAAGCCCCCGCTGGGCCCAGCCTCTCCCAGACACCCCATTCTAATATTCCCAGGCTGGTTGCTGAAATGTTCTTGGGGGAGGGGTGAGCACTCCCCAGAAGATACGAGGCATGTATTTTCCAAGCTTCTGGGCAGCCCCTCCCCTCAGTGTTATCATCTGTGTCTAACCAGGTAGAAAAATAAAGCCTGTTCTCTTCACCTGACTCTCACTTGTTGTTTGACTGCTTCTCCCAAGGTTGCTAGGGGCCCTGCCTCCTGCAGATCCTGAACGTCCAGCATCCCAGCACCAGGAGATATTCCTGATGTGGGGCTGAACCCTGAGTGGGTGGGATTTTTCTCACAGGAGAGGCCCTGGGTGACTGAGGGTGGGAGGGAGCGGAGTGGAGAGTGGTCGCTGAGAGCACTGTCAACAAAGGGCTGACTTTTCTTGTGTCACAGTGTGGGGAGCAATTCTCTAACATCGGATCCCCTGTCTGTATTGAGGTGGTAGAGACAATCAGAAATTGAGAAGAATGAGACCAAAGAGGACGGAGGGCCTGGAGGCAGAAAGAAAGGTCTGAGGGAGGAAGATCAAGTCAACCTACAAATGACTGACTTTAGAGAGAGAGGCAACCTGCAAAGTTAGTCAACTCTGAGGACACTGAACTAAAGGTTTTCCTTGAGGGAACAGATGGGGTGTTCTGCAAAGGGAGGCTCTGAGAAAAGTGAGAAGAAAGAGAACATAAGAAATGTCTCAGGGGATTACAGATTGGAACCCTGTACATTTCTCTAACCTCAGATACCTGGTTTGAAAATATTTTCTCTCACTCTGTAGGTTGCCTTTTCACTCTGTTGATTGCTCATTATGCAGAAGATTTTAAATCAAATTTAGTCCTACTTGTCTATATTTGCTTTTGTTGCCTGTGAAATCATAGCCAAGAAATCATAGCGAAGACTGATTTCGGGAAGCTTTTTCCCTGCATGTTTATCTGGAGATTTACTTTCAGGTCTTAGGTTTAAGTCTTTAATCCATTTTGAGTTAAGCTCAATTTCTTTTTTTCTTTTCTTTTTTTCACCTGAACATCCAGTTTTCTCAACACTGTTTATTGAAGAGACTGTTCCCCATTGTGTATGCTTGGCACTCTTGTCAAAGATCAGTTGACTATATATACATATATACCTGGTTTTATTATTAGACTCTATTCTGTTCCATTGGTCTATAGATCTATCTTTATGCCAGTATAATACTGTTTTAATTACTGTAGCTTTGTAATATTTTTTTTGAAATCAGGATATATGATGACTCTGGCTTTATTTTTTTTCTCAAGATTGCTTTGACTATCTGCAGTCTTTTGTGGTTTCATATAAATTTTAGAATTGTTTTTCTATTTCTATAAAAATGCTGTTAAGGTTTTGATGGGGATAAGAACTACTATATGATCCAGCAACCCCACTTCTGAGTGTATATCCACAGAACTGAAATCAGGATATGAAGACAACTGTAGTCACTGGAGTTACACTTTCCATAACTATTACAACAAAAATGACATACTCTTTGTCTCAACAATTAAAATGTTTATCTTAAGTCATCAAACACTTGTATATGCACACAAGGAAAATTATTAAAGCAGGTCTACAGCAGCATTTATAGTTAAGGAAACATTAGTCTAAACATCTAACATTAATAGGAAACATGTAAACACTGACATCTTATTCAACAAAGATGTGGTAAGGGAAAGA